CTGTCAGAGCACCTTGCCCGTCCCATCAGCTGCTTTCAGCACGCGGTGCCGCAGCGGTGCGGCGGCGCGCTCTGATCCTGTGTGAAGTCAGAAAGAGCCTTCACAGCTGTCACTTCCAGTTCCTACCAAAGCAAAACACTTCCTACAAGGAAAGCGCACATTACAGCTGAATTATAAATGAGGACTGGTATTTTTGCGAGGTACAAATCGGAGGCATTCTCCATATTGTTAGAATACCAATTTTATTTTCCTGGTATGTAGTACCCAGTGCAGCGCGGCGTCCCCGGAGATGCGGGCATTCTCCGGAGATTACTTCAGCATTGCATTACTGCTATCACATATCCATTATATATACTCTTTCAGACAAGTGGAAATGTTTTCACAAAAACAATCTGGAATCTTGGCTTAAAACCCAAGTTTGCTGTCAAGGCAAACAGAGTAGCCTCAAAGAGGACTTATTTTTATTTTGTTCAGACAAGTATGTTGTTTCTGGATTATAATAAGGGAAAATATAGCAGCTATCACTCTTCAGTTTATTTGACAAGCTTCCTCTGACAAACCTACAGGAATAAGCCCTGGCCTTGCGAACTTGTTCTCATTCAGGTATTCCCTTTGGCTTCAGCACTTTTATTAGTGTGATTAAGGGCCACACACATGTTTACAGGACAGGAGCCGTAGGATGGGATGATATATTTGTTCGGCTGTTACTTATTTTGCAAAGTTTTAAAACCCTTTGCTGTTTCCAGTGTTTGTCAGTCTCAGTCAGAGCTCTTGTCCCACCACCTATCCAGCAAGGTCAATGAGCAGGTTATAATCAGGTGCCAAATAAACAAATGCAAACTTGAAATCAAGTGATTTACTGTCCATTTTCATTAAGCTCTTCCCAAGGATGCAAACACTTTACGCTGCACAAGGGACCTTTGGAGAGGGTCAGCCGCCGTGCTGAAGTGAGACGCAGCGTGATGGTTTTCACCCAAATGGAGTTTAACGATACTGAGCGAAAAGGGAAGGCTGCCTTGCTCGGGGAACAGTGCGTGGTAAACAGAGTGGCATCTTTTCACCTTGCAGCAAATTCTCTGTTGTAAAGTGCATGGAGTTTTAATATTCATGTGTTTACATTACTCTGAGTTTTCTAGTCTTTAGACCAGAATTTTCCATGTATTATCAGCTAAATAAATAAATAAATAAAAAGTAAAAATAAAAATATAAAAAGTATTGGGACCTGGAAGGTTCTAGCTTCATTGTAAATCACAGCCCATTTTTTAAATTAAAATTTCAGTTTGTTTAAGATTCCCAGCATGAAGCTGGGTTGCTCTAAGGTAGCAGGACTCCTTTGCATAGTGAGATCTGGCCTCGATGGAAAATAAAGAGGCCTGCTTAAGCTCCAGGGCTTAGCCCATTAAATCCAGGACTAGGTGATTCTGGTGAGACTCTGAAAGGCCACCTTTGTTTTCTGCAGACCCCTGGTCTCCTTCCAGCTGGTTGTATGTAAGCGTTTTAGGCTTGTAGCATTGGATTGAGCAGGGTTGGAGCTGCGCGTTTGGATGCAGTAGGAAGATGCACATCAGCCCAATGCGGCAGCACAGTGGCTCAATTCTCTGCCCTGCTACACATAAAGAAGACACTCCAGGTTCTGGCTGTATAAATCAGATTGAGACTGTGCTGGAGCACTACTTAGGAAAGACATGTCACTTGGAGAACGCAAAATATTGAGCAACTTGAATTGTTTTTCCATGAAGCTTATCCCTTGATAGCACTTTACTCTCTTATATCTCCTTAATACAGCATAATTTAAATGTTTTCTAGGCAGAGTTATGCTTATAATGCTTCTTTTCCAACATAATATTGGCTGTAATGTAGATGCATTGGCGAGAAGTCACGGTTTGCTTCTTTGCCATTTTGTGAGTCTCCTAATTCAAAATAAGAATGTCGAAGTTAACCTGTTCTGAAATTTTGCAAATACTTTTTACAAACAAATGGTTTGTCCACAGTTTTTCCATATTTGTTTTATAAATTGTTCCATTTCTGTATCTCAGAAAATTTCCCAAATGAGGCTGAGCAAATTTTTTTTCTCTCTCTTTTTTCCTAAAGGTTGCATAAATATTTCACATGTATCTCCCTTTAATTAGATTAAAACATTGTAAAGTGGCAAAGAATTTTCTCTTTCCCCAAATTAGACATGAGAACCACAAACAAATTAATTTGTGTCTCAGGGTTTTGACTGGGCCTCTTGGCCTCCTCCAGCACTAACACAGGCACTCGTGACCCTCTGGATTTCAAACGCCTGAGGGTAAAAAGCAATTATAAAAACATGACTCTCCCAGATCAGCTTTCGAATCTGCCTTGTCTGTGTTTTATTGATGGGAGATTGAAGGAAGATTCAAATCAGCTCTCCTTCAATTCTTTACCAGCAGCAAAATACAGAAATCATTAGCTCTTTCTATATAAATGACTTTGTCCCGCTTTATTATTCAAAACTGGCTGGGCATTTGACTTAAAAAGGCTATCTTGAATATTTATTTCTAGTTCCTGTATTTGTAAATATACATTGCTTTGCTCCTCGTTTTCTTTTTATTTTTCAGAATAATTTTTCATGGCAATTAGAGCAAGAACTAATTAATATGGGTATTTTTTAATAGCTAAGGAACACTCACTGACTTGAATTAGGATGATCGCTCTCTCGTAGGTCTGTTGTTGTTAGGGAACCCTACTGCACAACCATGTTAAAAAAATAAGGAAAATAATTTAATATCTGCTTGATTTCACTTCTTTGTATGATTACAGATGATCATTTACTGATATGTGTGGGGTGAGAACAAAATATTCACTTTAAATCCCAGTGCAGTTATGTGCACTCACACTGGTGAGTCCAAGCTGTTCCCCGAAGAGGAAAGAAGAGTGTTTGGTGCGGAGCCTGGGAGAGGAATAACAGGCATGGGGAGCAGTCGGGCTTGGGTAGGAAATGAGGCTGAGGTGGGATTAATGTTTTGTAGTGAGTTTGAATGGATTGATACAGCAACACTAACAGGATGTACTGAGAGATGAAAGGAGTCTAAAAGGGAGTATGGGATCCTCAGACCTGGGTGACCAGAAAGGATGGTCTATCTGAATTGAAACTGCATCTACAAACATCAGATGCAGCTCCAGAAGGCAGCATGGGATGCCAGAATGTGCTTTGCTTGGCAGCAGCTGCTTGTGAGGGCCTGGGATAAAGAAAATCATTGTTTTGCACCCAACATGATGTGATGGGTGATGATGTCTGAGCATGGGAGGAGGCTGTGTGCACGTGCCATCCAGAGCATTTCCCCTTTGGATTTCCCCTCCTTTTTGGAATAACACGTGGGCTTGACTTTGATTTAAGTCCAAATGAGGGCATGATCCAAGTTGTGACTGGGTCATGTTACAGAGGCGTCAGATATGTATCAAGGACTCTTAAAGGTGGAGCTTAACAATTTGTGTGCAAGCGAGCATACCCCTCAGCCAGCATGTCGTCTTTCTAAACCCTGCCAGGGTGGTTTTGCAGATAAAAATGCCTTGTAGCTCAGATGGTGGCTTGCTTAAATGATACAACACAGACATTCAATTTTAAGAAGCTGGAGCTTTATTTTTGGAATCCTACAATGTGTACAGAATTTAAAAAGCCTAAAGCTATAATGTTTTACTGCTCCTTTGATAAAATTTATATTTAATCATATCTTAAAAACTGTTCTCATTCTGCCACTTGATGTTACCAACCAAGCGGAACCCATCAATGCAACACTATCTATCAACCCTTCTTATATTTCATTCTCCTACAACTCCTCTTTAATGGTACATACGTTAATGAATTACAGTGGTGTTTCTGTGAAGTACAAATGAAAACTGTGCTCAAACCAAGGGCGGGACTGTTACCCATAAGCTCCGTGTTACCCAGTTGGAGCCAAAATGCTGGATCTGACCCATTTACATCACTGAATCTCCAATTTGCAGATAATTATCCCTGCCATTTCTTTTGAAGCTCAGTTTTCCAAAAGTTGTAATGAGTGGCCATTCTCAGTTGCTTTTAGATCTTCATCTAAAACTTTTCTTTAACATATTTTAGGAAACCTTTCCAGGTGGGAGTATTATGTGTGCAACTGTTGTCAGCCAGGGCTGATAAGGATGAGCAACCACTGGTAGCTTGGCTGAACTTTCAGTGGTGCCCCTTTGCTGCTGGCAGTTATAGGATTACGTACAGATTTGTGCAGTGAGATACATGTCTCTTTATCAAATTTGTCTCTTTAAAACGGTAGTTAGACTAATTAAAGTCTCTGCTAAACTCTCCCTGCAGCTACACCTGTTAAATCTGCTGCTGTAATGTTGTTGGATGTGTGTCTGGAGGTAGACAATGGCCTTTGGCAATGTGTTGTTCGTGTTCCTTGTGGCATGAATGAGTTAAACACATTTCTCTCCATTTTTTTTCAGAACTGAAACATGTCCAGCAAAGTTGGTGGTCTCCTTAAGAAATCCAAACTCTCTGCTGACCAAGTGAAAACACACATGTGCATGTATCAGGCATATACATAATCTTGGCTGAAAATCAGCATCAGTGACAATTTCACTCAGTGAAATCTTAATTTTGATCCCCACTCTTAAAAATCATGTTTGTGTCAGGAATTTTACTCAGAAGACCTTTTAGCTTCTTAGTATCAGGCTGACTTCACAAGTTGTTAGTAATTTTCCTTTACAATATGAAGACACTCTATTTTTATTCCCATATAATTTTGAATTAAGATTCACATTTATTCACAGTCATATGCCAGAAGGATTTTTTTCTGTTTCCTTCCCTTTTTCTCAGAGGTATCCGGCATGGACCACTGCTCCACTGCTGCTAAAAAGACACCAGACTAAATGAACCATCGGCAATTGCAGATGCCAATATCATTCCTTTAAATAGAAATGATTTGTTCTTACTCTAGATAAACACATAAGTAGAAGTCTAGTCATTTCATTTCTGCCTCTTTTCCTGGAGGGCCGGGGGATCTCCCAGTGCTGTCTGTTCTTTTCCTCTGAGTTTTGCAGGCAGGGGAATCTCATGCAAGCTTCAGCTCCACATCCTCTGAAGAGAAAACATTAAAGTCAGCACTTGACTGCACTGAATTTTACAGGATTTTCTCCCAAGTATGATATTGATATCTTTTAAGTGAATGGAGTAATTGAGGAATCTTTCTTTAAATTATTGACTGGGTGTCTGGAGAAGAAATGAATGAGAAATATCTTTATCCCCAATAAAGATTTAGGTGCACTGAATTAATCTTGTTTCTGATGTGACCCTTTTGAGTATTATTTAGGACGAGCTTTTCCATGCTAAGCCTGTGGGGAGATTGTGTGCGTGTGAGGGAGGAAGGATAGCCTAAATTTTGGTGCAAGGCACCTGAGAGATTTTCCATGTTTCTAAATCTTTCCTCTCTTAAAACAGGAGACAGAAGCAGGAGGAGGGAGATGAAGAAAAGACATCATAACTTGACATCGCCATGCTTTTCTGTTTGTGGTCTGCTAGGATTTGGCAATAACATTTATGCTGTTTCAGAGAAAAGATAGGGGGTGAACAGCTGGAGGAGAAGTCCACACAAAGGCTTTAACATCAGCAGGAGCAGAGCCCCAGGAGGGTCCTGGACAGGCCAGCAGTGTCAGTGTGTCGGCTCGGGGACATCTCTGGTCTGAACACACCCGTCGGGGATGTGTGTGCTGCTTGGAGGGGCTGGGAAAGCCACAAAGCATCTCAGCTCACTTCCAGACTTATTTTTTAGACAGCCTGGATTTGTTTTGGAGGGAAAAAAAGGTAAGGGGAAACATATAAATAGTTCTGTGTGAAGAATGTTTGAAGTCACATATGCTGTGATGGCTTTTCTTCCAGTAATGTCTCTTTGCATCGTTTAAGAAAAAGAAGGGGACTTAAAGTATCTGTTTTTCTGTAAATGCAAAAATGTCTTTGATACAAATTTGATCACTTTTGTAAGGTTTAAATGATTTGGTCTGCAGAATATGTTCCCTTTCTAAGAACAACAAATGGAAATAATTTGCTGATAGCTTTTGAATATTTTCCTGAAATAATTTTCCTGTTTTGTTTTGTTTTGCCCCTCATGTGCCACTAGAGATCAGCATATTTTTAGATATTTAAGCAATCATTATGTCAACAGAGGGGCTTAAAAAGGGATACAGCATGACTATCGAGTAGGCAAATTACTCATGACTGGTAAAACAAAACAAATAAAAGTCAGGCCTGAAGGCATTCAGAGAGCAACTTTTTTGCATCTAGTCTTCATATTCCCCTGTTTTTTCAGAGGTTTGGGGCATCTCTTTCTTTCCATCATATTAGTTTTATTTGCCCCCAAAACCTAGGGTCAAAATGGCACCAAAATTAGCGTGAATGAGAGTGAACACACCTAAATTCATTCTTGTTTTAATGTAGCAATGATTTAGTATACACATCTTCAAGACCAGAAAAACAGCAGGATCTTCTCAAGCTTCCAGATTGTTACATGAAAATAAAATAAATATAGGGTTTAAAATTTTATCAATTTCTGGTCATGTGAAGCCTGTCCCCTTTTCCAAATCATCTAAGCTTTCTTTTTCATATCTAAGAGAGCCTGGGAGATTTGCAGATGAGGCACCTACCTTTGAAGTTCTCCCTTCTCTAAGGGTGTGCAGAGTGTGCGCACATGCTCACTCCACTGGTCAGCCTTCAAGGTCATTAATGTTTGGGAACTGTCAGTCGAAGAAGAGCTAATCACTTGCTCCAATTTTGGGACGTTTCTCACACTGAAAAGTTTATTGATTGTGCATTCTACTCTTGCACCGGATTTTACTGTTTTTTTGCACATGGGATGATGGTGGCCACCAGTTTTCATCTGTCCTCCTACCCTGAGGCAAGCATGACACGACCCATGAAGTGCTTGCTTACACTTCACAGTCCCAAATATGCCATGGCTTTGCCAACTTTTCAGCTTAAATTTTACGGGCACTGAACTATTTCTGCAAACCCCAGGGGGACAGCCTCATCCCGTGCTGAAGGTCGCATTCATCATGGCTGCGAGAAGGGAGCAGGAATGAGGTGGCCAAACCACGGTAAGGATGCGGCATGGACGTGGGGTGCAGGCAGTCCCACCTGGTCTTGGGCAGCAATTCCCAGCCATCCGTGTTTCTACAAATTTCAGTCACACTGTCCTTGTCTGAGGTTTCTACCTCAGTATGAATGAAACATGATAAATGAGCATTTGCACATTCCAATAACTGTGTTTTTCTTAAGAGTATTCTGAGAAAGGCTGATTTTGTCAGCACAGCCTACAGTGGGTTTCTTGCTTAAAAACAGCAGCACCAATGTCAGAGGTTAGAGAGATTTGCACTGCTTTGAAATATGCAGTTTTGAGATGAAATTAGTGTATTAAATTTCAAAGTTAGTTGTAAATTCTTGCATTAAATATTTTTATTTTTTCTCAAGACCAAACGTAGTTCTATTTTCAAAAGTTTCATGGTGAGGCTTTTCTGTAATATCCACAGCACTAATTTACTGGGAACTTTAAGTAGAAAAAGCTATTATTATTTGATTTAGGATTTTATCAATGAGATTATGATCCAAATCCTGAATCCATGGATACCCTGCAAATAAACCTTGGAGTTTCAGTGATTGTTCATAAAAGCAAATGTAAGCAAGGGACAGATAAAAATGTTAACATGTAGATATTCAGAAAAATCTTTATTCCCCTCTACTTTTTTAACTAATTGAAGAAGTTAATTTCAAGCAAAGACATTCAATGTTCATTTGAATAAAACAATTTCTTATACTAACAAGAAAATTCAAGTAAAGGTAATGGTTGTAACTTGTTCTGAGTCCTTGTAAAAAGAAGTGGAAAGGAAATATTGATTGTTCAATACTAATGAAAAAGAAAAAAACAGAAGGAGGAGTTTTCACAAAGATCTGTTTACCCAATTTTTGGTGTTATTAGAGAAATAGCTCACAAGGTGGGGAAAACTGCCTGGCTGAGTGAACAGAACTCAGTTCTGTCGAAGTCCAGGCAGGTCCCATGTCAAGCACAACGATGCAACAGGGCCTGTAAAAAAAGTGTGTGCACATGGAGGGAGAAAAGGGGATTGCCTGGGTGATGGAAAGCTTTGGCAAATGGCTTTTCAGCAGCTAGACAGTTGCTTGTAAATCTGGCTTGTCTTAAGCTGAATTTTTTGTCACAGAAGGGAAGAAACCAACACCCTTCATTAGCCTTGTAAATCCTGGCCTAGAAAACCCCAGGGAGCTTGCTCCCAAGAAAAGGAAGCCTCTGCACAATAACTGCACGTTTTCAATCAGTCCTCTTGATCCCTGCTCTTGCTTATTCCCAAGAATCTGCCAAGTCTGTTGAACTTCCTCATAGTGACCCTCCCATTTAATTCATGGGCCATTTTGTATTTACAGAGAGGTCAATAAAAGCTTTCCAGAGCTGCAAGCCTCTCTGTAATGGTTGTCCTGAGCAATACAGCCTGAAGAGCCCCAACAGGAAATTGGTAAAGCAGCAGCCAATTTCCTCTTGCTCTTTTACTGCCTTTTGGTCTTCCTGCTCTGTTCATATCCCCACTGCTGAATTATTCTAGAAATGGTGGGATATTTCTAGCACCACATATGGAAGAGAGCTCATATCATTTGCAGAATTTTATGCGAGGTTAATCAAATATCAGGTTTGTTTAATTAATAGTAGTTGTTAGGTTAAAGCTCATGACCTGTCATGAAATTCAGTTTCTGTTCTGATTCTGTTTCTGGCATGCTGTGTGACTTTGGAAAAGATGTTTTACTGATCTTTTGTTAAATTTTAAGTTAAAAAAACCTTGCTTAAAATGTGGACAATGTCTGTATATGTTCCAGACTGTGGTTTACAGGCTCTTTGAAATCTTTGGGTGCAGAGAGTGATGCAGTGTGGTGACAGCCCTGAACCTCTGCCCTCTGCTCCCATGACTGAACACATAAAAAAATACTGCTTTTTTTTAGAGAGTGGGAGGATGGTATTGGGAAACATTTTAGGTTCGCAAAGCTGTTTCACAAAGGCTGCATCTACATCACAATAACTTATTGCAGCAGATCTGTATCATGGAATTGTTGGCCCTGAGTACCAGATGTCCACAATAAAAGCATTTCCAGGGTGCTCACTTCAGATGATGGTGAAGCCTGGTGCTGCAAAATCCAATCTGGACTGGCTGGAACATATCTTCTGGTTTAGTTTCACCCTGAAGAGATTTAGTCTGTGTGTTCCATGATGTCTGTGTGATGCTAACCCAGTCAGGGAAGTGGGACACCTGGGAGGTGGCCTTCAAAAGCACGCTTCCAACCCAAACTCCATCAATTGCATCGATGCACAAAGGGACTTTCTGTGCTGTGCTCTGTGGCACAGCAACTGCCGCGCCCTGTGTCCCGGGAGAAGAACACAGAGCACTAATTTAGATGCCTGAGCTACCTCTGCAGTGCCTGGGGAGTGTTTAGCATCTCGGAAAGCCCTAGTTACCCTGTGACAGCAAAGGTCCTGAGTGCCCAAACTAATCAATGGGAAATGCGGATGCTAGAGGCACCTAAATCCCACACCTCCCCGAGCCTTACTTGTGACTCACAGCCTTAGCCCTTTGTCTGAGCTAGCTATCTACATACCATCTCCCCCCCAGAAAAGCCAAATACAGGAAGAGAAGACCTAAAGAGCTGGTAGTGGCTGTGTGCTGCTTCCTATGATAACAGTAATGCTCACAGCGCAAATTTTGATCAGCAGCTCTTGTAACTTTTCTGTATTTTCTTAAATGACATGTTAATGTAAAATAAGAGAAAGTCCTTGAATTTGCTAAAGGTCTCCTTTCTCTCAAGAAAATTCCCTAATTGCTTATAAGCTAGTATTTCTAGCTCTAAGAATATTATTATTTTCGGATAAGCAGAGCATTTACAGCAAAAGGCACTTGTTTTTATCCCAAATAACAGAAACAATCACTCCAGAAGTTAGAGAGAAATAGACTCTGCTTTTTCCCTAGTTGATGTGAACCCTTTGCATACCAGGAGGTGTTCCTCCCTACCTGGGCTTGGGAAGGATAATTCTGCCATTCTGTGTTTTCCAGCCTTCTGGCTTTGCTACCATTGCTTCCCAGATATAGACATGGATGGGGGCTTCCAGTTCAGGGCATCTTGATATGATGTAGGGACTTAGTGTGAGTTCAAAGCTATACTCAAAACCAAAAATGACCAAAATTAGAATTTTGAAGACCGCAGTATCCATTAAGGATTAAGCAGGTAGACAGAAAGTTTAAAATCCACCATTAGACTTGGTGATAGCAAACACCCTGCTACAACCACGTCCATGTTGTGTCCTATTAGTCAAAATGCTATCCTTGCAGTTGCTCAGGACATAGACATTGCTGTAGAGACAATGTTGGAAGAAAGGATGTCACAGATAATGACTTGTCCTCAGATTTTTTACACTGTTTTCTCAGTATTTTCAGTTTCTTTTTAGACTATGACATTTTTCATTTAATATAGGAATAATAATTGTTAAAAAATTAGATTAAATTAGGACTATCAAAGAAAAATATATTGTGGGAGCAGTGCCGTTTATATTAATTATGCTTTGTGTATGGATATAATACAGGCTTGTATATGAAGGTTTTCTGCAGCATTTAAGGCCACTAGTCCTTTGGCTCTGACTTTTCAAGCCTGAGAAGAAAACAGAAATCTGAATAATTGTGCTTGTGATTCTCTGAATTTATTCACTTATGGAAAGAAACTAAGCACAATCAAGTCTCTCATGTGGAGAAGATTGCAGTCATAAACTCTAAAATGATAGGATTACCTGTCTTGTATCATATTATCTTTTGTGCTAGTTACGTATTGTTTCAAAGCTACAAAAATAACAGCTCCTCTGTCTGAAATATTTTTCTTAGCTTTGCCTCTTGGTCATAAAATGTAATCGGATACTTTTTTCTTGAAAGGTTTCTTGTAGGTTTTAGCTGTTCTTTAAGTTACACACTTCAGTCTTAAGTTTGATTTTTGTCAGTTAACCTCACACCTCAAATACAGATTTTTCTCTCCAGGCTACCACTTTGATTCTTCTAGTCAATCCCAAACTTAGCAAAACTATGGATGTGCATATTCTTTTTTTTTTTTAATTTTTTTTCCCCTTCCATAATTATCAAGTTTATTCTTTTTTTTTTTTTTTTTTTTTTTTTTCCCTTCTCCCCTTCAGGATCTTTCTGGCAAGCATTGCACTCTCCTGGGTTTCAATGCTGTGAGAATTACAATTCATCCAGAGTTCAAGCCTTTGGTTAAGACAATGTCCTCAGGGTTATGAGGCATGTTAAATGGCAGAAGAAAAAGCTACTGTTCTGGTTCTTATGTTCAGCTGCATTGTATCAGGTGTGTTGTGGAATATCTAATCCTGTCGTACTTAGACATCCAGACCTTGACTCCAAAGAGATCACTTCTGCCACCAGCTGGAGTTTGTGGGCTTTCCCTTTGGCCCTGGCCAGGCAGAAGCATCAGGACCTCACATGCAATCACAAACATGTTGTAGGAGTACCACAACTTGGTTTCAGGTCAATTATTTCATCTTTTTTCTCTTTAAGGAAATGATTGGAGCATGACTCAGTCTGCTGCTAATCCTGGCTCTACGTGAGATCAATCCCTCTGTAAAGGCAGGCCTAGCACCTCCCACAGCTCTGCTTCTTGACGTGGTGCATGCGGGTTTTAGTGGTCTCTAATGAAAGGATTTTTTTTTTCTTCTTTTTATTTTGTTCCTTGAGGCTGAAACACTTTACAGAAGCACCCCTTGATGCCTGGAAACAAAAAAAAAAAAAACCAAAAAAAAAAAAAAAAAGAAAAAAAGAAAAGCAATTTCTACTAAGCTAGCAGCTTGCTTACCTCATGGATTTCCAGGGAGACTAGAGAGATGAACAGATATTTGGAGGCCACGCCACACATTTTCCTCACCACCCACATCTCCCTACGTCAGCGTGGTACCACCAAGGACCCTTGGGACCCTGTTTGCAGTGACATCCCCCAGACGTGAGGCCCTGGGACCACCACAGCCTCTGGTCGAGGAAGCCCCTGAGGAGCTGGGGTTCAGCAAGCTTTGTGTCTCAGGTTTCCAGGCAGGGACAGGCCTTTCCTACTGCTTTTTAAGGAAACATTCTGATATATTTTCTCCCTTTGTGGGAAATGTCAACATTTATGAAATGGGAGCAAAATGTTTCAATTTTTTATAGACTGAAAAGATTAAGCTTTTCCCCATAATCAAATGAATTTGAGTGAAAAAGAGCGGTTGTCCTGTAGTGCTGCATGAAGAAAGCCATCAGGTGTGTTCCCTGCAGTCCTACCTTGTTATTAGAGTATGCATTGGAATCTGAGGTGTATCTTTATAGGTTCATATTTCCACGACCTCCAGTATCCTTTCTCTCATTTATTATTTTATGGTGTTACTTGGATATGACTACAATTCTAGTGGCACTTTAAAAAACTATTGCTTGTGTAGGCTCCAACTGCAGCTAAACCGGTGTTCTCAACATTGCGTCTCAGACACAACAAGGACAAATAAAGAAATGCAAAGAGCATCACAAAACACTGTTTATTGCTATTTTCAGTGGTGGTGAGTACTCCAAATGAATCCCTCTACAGCTGAACTTTTGCACAGGTGATACTGTTGGGACGTCAGCAGGCCACAGTCACTCAGCTCATTTTTGTATCTGAATCCCTAAAAAAAAAAGAACACCCAGACTTTTAAGGCGGAATTCATTTTAAACAAATATTTGTGTCTTATATTGCAGCTTTAAAATAATCACTGTCCAGTGGTAAGTGATACAACATGGCATACTGAAAAGCATTTCCAAATTCATTGGAATGTGATCACTAAGGAGTTCATTTTCTGCAAGCTCTTAAAATACAGCCATGTAGTAAAAAACGCTTTATTTCATTGTCTGGCTGTTCTGCCAAGTCCCTTCCTTCCTGGAATGTTTATTAAATTTAGTTTCATGTGGTCTGTAAATATATATATACATACGTATACACATACATATATGTTCTTCTCTTCCCTCAGAAGGCTGGGTGGGCTGCCAGTTACATCCTAGTTTGGGGGGAATTGGTACTTGTGCTAGAATTTTATCTACATGCTAAGATGTGACAAAACAAGTTTGCTCTCCCTGTGGGAGGTTTGTCCTCCCTGTCAATGACTGAATCTAGATTATGTAGCTTGTGCTGATCAAAATACACCATTTTTTCCCCACTATAATTATTATTGTTTTTTTCTTTTTATTATTATTTTTATTATTTTTTAACCAAAAGCACACAGTATTGACTTGATGATTCCAACGCAGCTGTCTGGCAGTGTTAATGATCTCTGCTTGCTCACAACATACTACAAGCATTAGACCATGGTGAAAATAACAGTACAAGCTTGGTGCAACCTTTGAATAAATCGTCACTCTCTTAGTCACTGTGAACTGCATTTGGAGCAAATATTGTTTTCTGAATGTTAGAAACAAAATAATCATCTTCTTCTCTTCTCTTCTCTTCTCTTTTCTCTTCTCTTCTCTTCTCTTCTCTTCTCTTCTCTTCTCTTCTCTTCTCTTCTCTTCTCTTCTCTTCTCTTCTCTTCTCTTCTTCTCTTCTCTTCTCTTCTCTTCTCTTCTCTTCTCTTCTCTTCTCTTCTCTTCTCTCCTTCTCTTCTCTTCTCTTCTCTTCTTCTCTTCTCTTCTCTTCTCTTCTCTTCTCTTCTCTTCTCTTCTCTTCTCTTCTCTTCTCTTCTCTTCTCTTCTCTTCTCTTCTCTTCTCTTCTCTTTCTATTCTTTCACAAACTTTTCATCTCTCTGAATATTGTGCCCATCAAGACCTTTTTTTGTCTTCCATAGCTAGATAATTGATTCCCTATTGTTTCCATATGCTTAATGATGGTTCTGTAAGATCCTTGCTTGTTACATCAGAAAATTGAATAAAAAATTCCTTTGTGCTGACAGCTTCATTGTAGTCAGTGTTCAAAATATCAAAGGATGAATGCTAAATGTTCATAATGTAAAGTGTCAAGAGTGCAATCTGGGATAATAGAATACATGTCTTGCAAACTTGCACTTTAATATGGCAAACTACTTGGTCAGCAAGCAAATTAATTCATTTATGATTTGATATTATTGCAAGTAGTGGGTCAGCTTTTGCAGGCAGCTCTGTCTGCAGCTGAATTTTGCTACCACGCAGTCTCTTCTGTATTTGTAGATGCCTACCAGAAAATGAGTGTGTGGTCTTAGTGTAAGGATATGATTTCAGTGGCTTCTCTTGTATGTATCAGTTCACCGATTTATTTTTTTTTTAATAAACTTTTTTTTTTTTCCAGTACATGTTTACTGTTTAAAGAGAGAAAAAAAACTTGCTGTAATTATCTGCTTATCCCTTTTAAATGCCAATTGTTGTACAGTCTGAATTGATTGTGCAGATGTTTAAAACATGAACAGATGAATACAGTGAAATGTTGTCAATGGTGTGTTGTCTCCCACAGTTCCACAAAGAAACTTGAACATATTTTCTGGCAGAGCTGCTCATTTTCCCAGGGCAGATATTTGCAAGCCTACCTCTGTAGCTTGTGAATATCAAAATGAATGGCAAATATTAACCTCTGAGAGCTAAAACAATGTGAAAAATTACAAAAGTAAATGTTAGCAGAAATATCTGTTATACAGGCAAAGAGAGAGACGGCACTGAAAGGATTTATGTTATTTTTTGAGTCTTGGCTTACGCACGAAAGTTGTGAATCTTTCTATTGAAAGAAAAGTAAAGTCCAATTTTTCAAAAGTAGCCTTGAAGTTTTGTTTTTCAGAGTTCAGTGACCTGATTGAAAAAGCAGCTCTCTGTAAAAATAATTATGGAAGAAAAAAAAAAAAAAAGAAAATATTTGATGTGCTGTAAAAGTTACAACTGCAAACAGATTTTCATTCTCTTGTACAAAAAAAAAAAAAAAAAAGGAACCACACATACAAAAAAATAATAATAATAAAAAACAAAGAGGAGAATAACAGACTTTATTTATCTCTTTCTTAAAGAAAAAACAAAACAAAACAAAACCTTGGTAATCCTTTTAAAGTGGTTAACTGTGTCCTTGTCGTCTTTCATTGATACTATTTATGAAGAATACACATCTGTAACTTACTGTTATTGTTTATTATTATAAATTATCTGTTGATAATAACCCGTAGATATCAAGGTCCTCAGAAATACTACAATGGGGCTAAATTAGCCATTGATAAAGCCAAGGCCCGCAAGTGTAATAGTTTGGATGTGTTTGCTAAAAAGATGATTAAAAGGAGAGCAGAGGCACTGGTTCATGTGGTTTGGAGATGAAGTCTTGGCTTTCAGGTGTGGTGTGAATCTGATTTGGACGTCTCTCAGATAAATACTTGTTTCATCACTGCCCTGGCTTTAAGTGAATTTCAGCAGAATTTGATGTCTATTTTGCAGAAGAATCTCAGGTCCCTTACAGTTGTTGAGATGCTTTTTGCTTTCACAAAAATATTACCAAAGTGAAGCTTGCTGCTTTCCTGCGTCCTGCGGGCATAAAGTACAACATGTCTCTGACAAAACCCTTCTCAGTACATTTCAAATGTAGAGCTGGGTTAGCCCAGCTGCTGAAATTCCCACAAGACAGAAAAGGAGCTGGAGAGGTGAACTTGTAGCCCCTTGACAGCACTGTCATCTACACATGCTACCTGCTGCTTCTTTACGGGCAATCCGGTGGTCTTCCTGCCACGGACGTCTCAGTGTCATCCATTTCCTTTGTCCCATCCCAGAAGTAGCATCAGCAGAAATATACTGGAAGATCACACTGGGCTGGTAGCCAAAGCAGATTTATGTCTTTGGTATTTTTTATTTTTTTTTTATTTTTTTTCTTCTTGTGAGCTGCCTCTGATTTAAAGATCAGCTTTTTTTCATGGATGAGGTGTTGATCTAGGGACCAGGGCTTGGCAGTGGGCTCCTGCTGACTGGTCTTTGGCAGGATGTTTGGCCCTAATTCTATTCATGCATTGGGTATTCGGCTGTTTAAAACCCATTTGGTGCTCTCTTCTCCTTAGGAATTGCCACTGAGCAAGATCTGGATTTATTTATTTTCTAATAAATGATAAAGGAGGTGATGCAGAATGTCAGCTCACTGTCACAGTAACACCAGTCTATGGATGCCACCTGCATTCAGTGGTGATCAGGACAACTCTTGTGAGAAGTCATAGCCAGATTTGGGCTCAAATGGTTTTACATTGGTTTAGTGAGTGCTAATTACATTGCCAGGTAATACCTATTTGCAGAAAAAAATCACATTTATTCCACTGGCTTGTTGCTAAAGTAGTGAAAACTGACTGAAGGATAAATCTAACTTTTGCCTTCGGTATTTTATTGAAGTAAATATATTAAGGTAACACTTGTGATTCCCAAAGCGAAAACCTTAAGCAATGAGTTGCTTAAAGCAGCTCTTAGCATTTATTACTAATGCCTCCACACCTACAAAAGTTCAGCTGTATTATGTCCCAGCACTTTTTTGGTTGCTTGTTCTTTTTTTTTTTTTTTTATCATTAACATCAATCACACACTCAATATTTAATATTAATTAGCACGGCTTGTATATTTACCTTCCCTTTGTGCTCGCCCCCGTGGCACACAGAGGCGCAGTGCATCCTTCCCCAGCTGCCAGCCAGGCAGCAGGAGCCAAGTGCATTAGCAGCCCCCGGGGACGGGAACCCCCAGGAATTCCCCAGACCCCATCTCTCAGAACTTCCTGGGGAAGCAGAAGGCCCAGTAGCAAGCACCGGGTGCCTTCAGCTCATTTCGCTCAGCAGCCAAAGCAGACCAACACGAGGCATCGTTGTTCTTCAGACAGCAAAGAAATTATAGACCTACAGGTTGCTTTCTTAGCTCTTTTAGATGCTTACGCCTTAGCTAAATTTATAACAAACATTTATTCACAATTATGCTGTGGACTATTAGTAATTTTTATTTTATTTTATTATTTTTTCTCAGACCTGTGCCAGGTGGTGCTGCCCTGGGCAATGTGGGGCACCCACAGCCAGGACCGAAGCTGCTGTCCCTGCTCCAAAGATGGTGCTGCAAGAATCACTATTGACAGAGACTTCTGCAAACCACCCAAAAGCCCATTCGAGATGTCTGTTATAAACACAGTTCAAACAACATCGCACAAGAAATGTTATAAATATTTTAAAATGGCTTCTTAAAATTAGGGATTGCCTACTGAAGGCAGTCATTAGTGTAGGTTTCATTGGTGTAGCAGACTGGAACAAGTTATCTAGTTATGAACTAATTTAAATTATATCCATTAAAATATCCTTTTTACATAAAACAGGGGGCATTGGGGTTATAAAATAGACTGGGGCTTAAAGTGTAAGCTAATAAATATCTAATAAGTTGCAGTGCATATTTAAATTGATACGACATACAATATATTGAGTAAATACTGCAGTGAAGACTCTGAACGGCCCTTGACCAGCCCTTGAAGCAGCTGTAGAGTAGTGCCTGGAACATTTTATTGTGCGTTTTTCAGGTCTTGGCATGACATGACCCCTCATCGGTCCTGCTGCTCCTCCAAAAGCACAGTGCTCAAGCCAGCCACTACCTGAGTGCACGTGTTCGGACTCTGTTTTACCAGGTAATTCATTAATGGGTCCTCTGCACACCTTAGGTGGCTCATATCCATTATCCGCACTTAATAGTTTAGCCTAAGGATGTCTCTCAACATAAATAATCTTCCGTAATACTTTGATAGCATAGTTGTATTTCTTTTTATAGTAAATGGAAATTAGCTAAAAGCCTTTGCCCAGATTTGGAATCGCATGTCATATGGAAGACCAGATAAAGAATCTGCTGAGTTTTTTTTTTTTTTTTTTAAAGGAGGATATATTATCCCACCAGTGCGATATCTCCCACACAGGCAGAAATTCATCCAACACGTGTTCAAGTAATTTTCTCTCTCTGACTTTTAGCTGGCCACGTAGACTTTTAAACTACCCGTGCTGCTTTAAATGTAGTTTTAAATTGCACCTAATATTTGGTGGGTAATTCTTTAAAGCTGTTAGCACCTATTCACAGTGTAAGTAGGGGGATTTTTCTTTTTCATGTGAGCCTTCTGGGATGTTAAAGGATCCAAGACTGGGGATGCAATCTCAATCCAGAACTGATCTTTGCAGTTTCCTGCAAGGGTGAAATGGGAAATGTAAAATATTACTTTATTAAAAATTGCTCAAAACACATCTTCCTTGTTAAATATGCAGAGCTATTCAAATATATTACCTTTCTGGGAACAGTAACAATACTCTGTTTGCCTGAATTACTATTTCCAGTACTTCTTTTACTGCTAAGGTAAAATTAGGATTTCAGAAGAACAAATTAATTTCTACATTTTCTGAAGACCCAAAAATGAACATCCACGAACTGCAAAGGGGTAAGAGGCTTCTGTTATTTAGTGTGAACACAGGACTCCCTTGCATGTGACCATGTTTTTTTTAAAAAAAAATGGCTAAAAAGTTAGTAAACACACCACCTTTGCAGTTACAAAAGCCAGCAGTCTGTGGCTGGTGGTATCATGTCATACTTATTGTGAAGAAATTTCTGTACCAGCCACCAACACCAAGGCAAAAACTGAAACTTACATTCTTCATACCTTATAAAATGTAACTGTGTCTTTGACACCCATACTTAAAGTATTTATAATATTACAGTTATCTCTTACAATTTAAATCAATTTGGAACCACTTACAAGACAAAGTCCAAACATGCCTGAATTTCTTCCAGGATGCTTTTACAAACTATGTTTTCTATGCAAATAATTTATTCTACAATTTTCTCAGTGAAATTAATTCCACATACCCTACCTGCTAATGAGAGCCCACCAAATATTTTGCTATCGCACGCACTCATTAGCTTGTTTTCATTTGCAGGGAGCAATCAACATCTGCCAAGCAGCTAGCATACCAAAGCTGCCATTAGTATTTCCTGAATCTAACTGTTTCTATTTCTTCCTCACCTCCAAAGGACAATCCTGCACAGCAGGTATCTTAGCATTAATATTGCTGGGGAATAGTTGCCTTCTGCAAGAGTACTCTGGACCCGAAACCAAAACCTCCTGTCTTTCTGCTAAATGATTGAAGAATACCTTGTAAATCATTTACCTCTCCCTGCTGCTGGTTTTCTGTTGATAGTGTTTACTCTGCTTCCAACATGATGGCAAAGTTAAATTTTCATTTTGCTGAAAAAGAACAAAATACGGTGAGCCTTTTTGCTCGTTATTGCCTGATCTTTCTGGAGTGAGCTGTTTCCCAATCCCATGCATCACAGATGTCCTGTCAGGGCTCATATACACCCAGTGAAGTATTTGCATCCCCGTGCCTGCTGATAGAGTGAGCATGTTTGTCTACAAAGTGCTTTTAAATGAACTAATACATGATTCATGCAGGCTCCTTTGAGCAGAACACCAATCTGTCTGGACACAGTTTGCTGTAGGCTTGACAACAAGAGCATTTCTCTAGGTGAGACGGGTGCAAGAGACCTTTCGGAAGGAAGGTGGGGAGCAAGCGGCCGTCATGGCCCCACTGAGCAGCTGGGGCATGCAGGGGTTCCCCACAGGGCAGGAGCAAACCCCACTTTTGTCTGAGATGTTCTTCATACCGTCTCTCTCTGGGTGTGGGTGACACGAGCTGCACAGAGGCTGTATCTGCTCAGTCATGCTTGAGCAGGAGCGGATAGTGCACTACCTTTATTATTTATACAGGGATACAACAAGATTCTTTGCAGTCAAAGAGAAGAAAAAAAAAAAAAGGAAAAAAAAAGGAAAAAAAAAAAGATTGATCCCAAGTATACTGTTTCCTATTGAACTAAATAGATTTTTAATCGAGTCACTGCTCCTTTGGGTAATTGACTTAACAGTGTGGGCAAATTAATTTCAGATAAACCATAGCTGGGATTTTCCAAGGAGCACAAGGGTGCTAAGGAGTCAGCTCCAGTGCAGTGAGAGCAGGGCAAATATCTTAATTCCTCTGGCTTCCCGGGCACAGCGCTGCCCAGATGTTTAAACCTGGCGCTGAATTTGGAAGCTTTTATGTTAGTGAAACTCCCACTGAAGTCAGTCAAAACACTGATTCAGAAAGGACGGCAGAAATCGGTTCAAAAAAATCCCAAGTGCTTGCAAATGTGTTATGCACACATAACCTCCTCCCCTCGTTTAATAACCTAATCTAAATGTTGCTCTGCGCAATGCATTATTGTTCAAGTCTTTCTGTGAGATTTGGCACAATTACCTCCTTTTGGATCTTATCTGGGAAGCAAAGCCTTTGAAACAAGTTTATTTTCCGGTGACCCAACCAGAACCCCACTCTAGTGGTGAAAGATTGGTGAGGAAAACTAGCATCGTGCTGCGGTTCCAGAATACCCGCTTCTCTCGTCTAAAGCTCCGCTTACATTAAAGCTCTTTCTACAAAGGGCACTGCAAAAGCAGGGAACTTGGAACACTTTTTACTCTATTCAGGTCAGAAATAGGCAGAAAAAAAAAAATGCACTGTGACTTGTTCTGGCAGGATTGTTTTGGGTTTTCCCAAATTCAGAGCCTCAGCAAGACAAGGAAAGCCACACTCGCTTGTCCGTGGGGCAGCAAGTTGTGCTACAGCAGCCAGAGGTGGTGTCTGCAGGCCCCTTGGCTTTGGTTTTGCTCAGAGACAGGAGACTGCACACATTTACCTTCCTCCAACATCAAATCTATTAAATCCTACATCTTTTACATAGGGCACAGTACCTATATTAATGCATAGAAGCAACACTCCTTCCAATATTTTTTAAGGAAATGAAAACTGTACATTTTAAGAATCTGTAGCTGCTTTTCATTGCTGAAAAATTATATTCTGTGAATTGAATACAATAAAAATACCATTATTATTAAAGAAATTCTATTGTATGGAAAGAACTCGCGTTACATTCTTTGGTGCCTTATTCATGCAACTTCAGTAATTAAAGAGAAGATCAACTAACTATTAAAAGGAAATTATTCCTCAGCTGCCAGTTGCAACCCTTGTGAAATCAAGGAATGTGACAAATAGTACTGTTGGTATTATTTACATGTCATGAATGGGTAAGTATATATCTACATTGTTTTTTCTCTTCTAAAATAAATCTTAAGATATTTGTAGTGATTTCTAATAGAAAATGCAATATTTTACCCCTGTGCAGCTGTTTGCAGAGCTGGTCAATTGCAAATATACTGGTCATATTTTTTTCTGTTATTCTCATATCTCCTGTAAACCTGGTTGGTTTTATTGGCATATGCTGAGTTATCATCCCAAAGTTTGATTTCCAGTGGACAGGGTTCTGCTGCTGGTGGAAAAGAAGATGTGGCTGGCTGAAGTAGTGCTGGGCACTGGCTGCCCCATGGCCAGGAAGGCTCAGCTCAGATTGGTGAAGACAGATGGGACAACTGGAAATAGAGAAAAATGACTGGAAGAAACAGATATACTCCTGCCAGTGGAGAGGCAGCCAACTTCTTTCTGTTTTTTTTTTTTTTTTTTTTTTTTTAGTCCTTCATTAGAAGATTATTTGCAATAGCCCTCATGAAGAGGAATTTGGCCAGTCCAGGTGAGAGCCTGTGTACCTTTCCCAGGTTTCTCCAAGAATGGAGTGGAAAGTCAGAGTAGACGAAGGAAACGTTTTTCTCTTTGCTGCTCCTTTCCTCCTTGTTTGGTTATTTGTCTTGTGTCATCACCTGGGACTGCAGGAGCCAACCTTCCTAGCAGAGTGCTATGCCAACTCAAATATTTTTCTTTTTCCCAAAGAAGTATATTAATACGATATTTAATAGTTTCTAGAAATTGTCATGGAGGAGGAGGGAGGGGTTACCCACAAAACCTCTTGACTACTAAAGGGAATTTGGGATATTAACATAAATTTTTAAAAAATATATTAACCACATGGTTTAGCTGTTTTCCTTCCCTTCCTTTGTAAGTAATATAAAATTAAACACTATTTTAAAAGAGCTTTCTTTTTCCCCTGTTGCTTAGCTCATTGCCCTCAAAACTTTGAACTCTACTTAGCTGTTAATTATTCTGCAGTGACAGACTCATACGAGCTCTTCTTGCTGTTCTGGTCCATTAATTTCTTTCTCAAAACACGGCACCTGCCGAACCCCGCTCCCTGCCGTTTCCCATCCTTCCTCAAACACGGCGCCGAGCCCTGGCTGCTGCTCAGGAGGTCCATCCAGACTCCTCAGCTCAGCAAAAACAGGAGCCGAGGAAATATAAAGGGTCCTTGGGGCTGCTGAGATGCAAGCTGGGCTGCCAAGGGCAAACTGGGGCACTGCAAAACATACCTGAAGGGGAATAGAGTTCCTTTCTACTCCTGCTTAATGCCCATGTTATTTCAGAACAAGCCTGTTGAAATTAGGGGACTTATCCTGGCTTAACACCAGTGTAACTGAGAGCAGAATCTGGCCCCCTGCTCTTGGCATGACTACTTTTTTTTGGCAGATTTGGCCACTAATGCTCTCAGTAGGTTTCAAGCTTACATTTAATGGCATTACATTTATTTTAATATTTTTTAAATAGCTAGTGTAAATTGATTCCACTAAAAAAAAAAAAAAAATCCCTTTACCTACCAACGTTCATTTGTATTTCAAATGGCCCATTACATTTTCACTAACAATCATTAGAGCTGTGTGAGCTTATTGAAGCTTGGTCTTGGACTGAAACTGTAAAAACTGCCGGGTCTGGATTTTTTTGCAATGCTGAAAATAGCACTAGAAAAAGGTTTTTTATATTATAGTACATGACTACGTAACCTAAAATACAGTTAAGACATGGTGAAGAAATATGCTGCATTATTTTTTTAGGTCCTCCAGTGGAAAATATGGGCATAGCTTGGATCAACTCTGAAAAGCCAATCCATATACTGACACTAAATCTTTCAGATACAGCCACAGCCTCTCAGTGTGATTGCAGTTTCTATGACAAGAATTTGGTTCAAAACTTTGAGAAGCCATAAGGTGAAAATATTTGAAGCATGAAAACAAGGCAAAACAAAGCAAATGATCCTAAATGGCAGGCTCAAGACACGTCCATCACAGTAGAAGACCACACGCCCCTGGCTGTGGCAATGGTTTCTGCAGCAGGATGGAGATGCTGGGTCCTGGAGGCAAGTGGAGAGGAGATGGAGCTCCGCAGCCTCACCTGGGCCAGGGGTGACACCTGAGTCCTTCAGGCCTCTGGGAACAGGGCTATTTCTTGAGGAAAGAGGACCATCTCTCCATTTCCCATGTCTTAATGGAGGGTGAGACATCCCCTGCTCTGCTGGCAAATTCTTGCATACTGCTAATCTTACCTGTAATAATTTTTACCTGTTGATACAAATAAATAAAACAAGAGTATTAATATGGATATTTAGCCTTCTACCTTGTTCAGAAGATGTGCTGCTATGCTCAGTCATGGTAATACAGTAAAGCAACATGGGAAAATATACAGCAATCTGGATTGCCTCATAACCTAGATCCATCTGAAACATAAGTTTAAGATGGCCAAACATGAAGTCGTGTACTAGGCCACAGCTATATAGTACTGAGCAGTTTAGGATGGGTGTGACATGGTGGTCTCTGAGCTGGGCTGTTAGCTAAAGCAACGTGAGCAGACGCTTGAAGGGATAATAAAGGGTTTTTGCCGTGTGCTGTTAGTTAATTCTGCCAGCTCCACTGCTGCCCCTTCTGGGCTCCGTTCCTTGCCGTGTGCTGCTCATCTTCATTACCTACGTGTACATGTACAAGATCTCTAATTACCCTTCTTGCTCTGCTAGTCTGCCTAAGACTTCGTACCCTGTAATGTGAGACAAAATAAGATTGTTTTTTATTTTCTTTTTTATTTGTTTTTCAAATACTCTCAGCTTTCTTAGTATTGAACTGATCCTATTTCTGTGCCAGTTCAAGCCATTCTGAGTTTCATCACTCTTGCTTTTATTTTCTCCTTGCGAGCCTCCCCCCATATTGTGCCATTGGCAGGTTCCATCCTTTTACATGGCTTCTTCCAGGTCATTGATACTAGAGTGAATAATGCTGTCCTGACATTGATCTTGTTGTGCTCCAGTAGTCACTAAGAACAAACAATATTAGGTTATAGCATTGATTTCATGGATTTCAATTTTTTCCCAATCATGTTCTTGTTAAGCACCTTGTAAAATACATCATGTCACATGCTCATCTCTTCTGTTTCGTGGCAAAACGAATCCAACACAGGCAATCGCTTTCATACTGGGAAAATTTGTCCTCCCCAGTGCCAAGGAGTTAGCAGTGTTTAATTCAGTCCTATGCTCTGGGGAAACTTAAGGGCAGCCTATAGCATTCAGTACAATATTTCAAATTATCATAATTTGCGAGCAACTGGACAAGCTGGCTACTGAAAATGGGTATCACGATCTAATAAAAACCTAATAAAACTTTCAAAGTCACTCTGGAGCTCTCAGGGGAGCATTATGCAATCCTGCCACTGCGGCAGGAGCCCATCTCCTTCCAGCTAATCCGCTGTGAAAGCGAGGTGCAGGCACGGCCGGGCATGCCTAAACGGCTTTTCATGTCCTCGCCAGCAAGAACTTTTTTGGATGAGCTCCGGACTCTTTTGGTAGGCATGTAAGTCACTACCAATACTTTTCAAAGTGGCTGTGCTGTGGTTTGCTGAGAGAGGAGATAATACGGCCATGAGGCTGAGGATGTACAAACACAGACATAATGTCATTTAAGTGCTCTTCCTAATTATTTTATATATTAATGCACTGTCGTCACTGCTTGCCAGGTAATCTTTCATACGGAGCTACAAGGATGTCAAAGCAAATTGTGCTGCTTCCTTCAGTGCATGGTTTAGAAGAGTCCATTTTGGCAAAACAATGACTCCGCTACCTGCAAGTATAATGAAACAGAAATGACAACCAGATAACCACGTTGTCGATACACGTACTGTTTGTAAAATTATTGTTTAGAAAAGTGGTGCTTTCAAAATATAGTGGGTACTGTGGGGAAGAGGCTCACATACGTGTACTTGGAAAGCCACTCATCCTGTTTTTGGTGTTCCTCAATGGAAAGCGTTACATAAAGGGTCATATATATATGTATATATATCCTAAAAAATCAAACTTAGCACTCTTAATGGTATGGTTTGCTCACTGGAAGATTTCAATATTCTCAGGCACAGGAATTCAACATTTCTGACTGTTCTTAATAGATTTGGTGAGCCCTGAAATCTGTGCCGTCCTGACCCTATGTAATGTCCAGTACATTGAGGTGAGCTGAGGCTGCCTGGGCACACAGATCGGTGTACATAATCACTGCCAAGGAGACGGCCGTAATAATTCTTATCTTCCTTAATCTTATGTAAATTTGGAGTTCCTGGATTTAAGTCAACAGAACTGCAGTGTGTAGAGATTAAACATAGGCATCTGACTCTACCTTTATCTATTCTCATAAGAAAACCTGGTGTAAAAAATTGTAAAGTTGAGACTGGTAATGGAGATAAAAAAAGCCTGTAGGATCTTGCAGAAAGGAACAACTTCACTATTTTTCTTACCCTTCATAATGCTGAGCAAAATATTTTAAAAATATTTTAGTGATATGATGGATGTAAACCATTTAAAAGTTTTATTGAGCTTTACTCTAGTGCAAATCTTAAAAATCCTATAGAAATTATATCAAGATTTTCAGTAAGGTTCCATGCAGTATTATGAGTAAATGTAAAATTGATTTCATATTGGAAATAGATGCTAGGCAGATTTTGCATATCGGGTAGAGGAATGAAATTACATTTATTGTTGTATTTTTTTTTCTTTTTTTTTTTTTTTTTCTTAAAAAACAAAACAAAACAAAACACTTCAGCTCAGGTAATAATTGTACAGTCTATTATAATGATCCCAGGAGGTGCTTAACAGTACTGCAATTCTAAGTTTTTACACTTTTATTTTTCATTTGAAGAAAAACTTGTCACAATAAAAGTGATACATTAACAGAACATCACTTCCTTCTTTTTTTATTATGCATATTTAGATTATTTCCATGAAATTGCTTATCAAATCCCATAGGCTTTTAAAGATAACTGAACAGTTACCCATTTGTGTTAACTCTGGGATATTGTGCAAGAATTTGTGGTGGGACAATGAGAAGATAAAGCACACTCTGAGTTTAATATCTTTTTTTTTTTTTTTTTTTTTTTTTTTTTTTTTTTTTTTGGCATCCAAGGGCCAGGTTTTTAAAGCTCTGTGAGGAAGAATGATCTGTGCCTCGGGTAGCATTCAAGACAACAGCATCCTCACAGCAGGAGTCAGATCCTCTGAGGGTCAACCATTCCTCTCAACTTCTCTCTCCACACTTGTAGGTAGTTAAGTACTTTAAAAAGCCTGATTCTGAGAGTTTTAAGCAGCGTTGTGAGATGGCCAACATCAGCAGATAGGCTTACCATAACCATGCCCCTTGTTATCGGGGCACAGAGTTTAGCGTGGAAATGCTACTTAGTTTTATGTTCCTTGACACATTCTGTAGTAAATCAAAATACACAAGATAATTTAGGGTACTGCTAAATTTTCTTTTCTCAAATAACAGAGCTAAGCTTTCCCATTTTTTTTCCCCATTTTTTTTTTTTTCTAGGTAGACTGAAATTTTTACTATCACTAGTCCATCACTCAATTCATGATACCATGTCCACGGCAGCCATAAAGGGAGAAACAACAGTGGGGAGCATCACGTGCTGGCCCTTTGCATGAGCCTGAGTGACCATGACTGCTCTTGATTGAGGACTTGGAAAACATGTGCACAGTGGAGAAAGGAACCCAGCCTGGGCTAGTTCAGTGAGGATTAGGCTGTGCTGCCCAAACTTCAGTCCCTAACATTGCCTACTGGAAGTAGGTTCCTTCTCTTGGGCTCCCTAGGGACGGTACCAGCAGTAGGATGCTGGGGGTGGACACGATCGCTGGGATGAAGACAAAGCAGCATCTTGTGCCAGTCCCAGCACAGTGGGCAATGTTCGGGGCTGTCAGCTCAGCTGTGCCCAGCGCTTCCAGGACGAGCAGGCAAGACAGCTACAAGAGCACATTACAGATTTAGGAAGAGGCACGGTGCTGTTTGTCTGCTGCAGCAGTCGCAGCCCCAACTTTGAGCACGCTCTGCCCCAAGACTCTCTCGCGGCACTGGACTGTGTCAGCGAATGGTGCCAGCTGAACTCATGCAGTAAAGAAGAGTGATTATACATCCTGTATGTAATCACGGAACATATGTTAGAATGGCACATGAAATCTGGGCACACTTTACCCATGTAGTAAAGACCAGAAAAATTATGAACAAGCTACAGAAGGAAAACAACTTGCCAAAATTTCCCAAACCAAGCAGGAGGTTCCAGCGAGCTGGAACTCCACACGGTATATTCTTGAGGGGGTTTTGGAACAGAAACCTGGATATGTCTAGAGCATGTTGGCAATGCTCATGATATAAAGAGCAGATGTCCTCACCTCCACCCACACGATTATGGCTGCCAGTTTTTCTAATATCTTCTGCCTGATGAACTGTCCAGTTGCAAGAGTTTAGGCAGAAAAATATAAATGGTATTTGTGAATTAGGGACATTTTAGTAGATGCTAACCTCCCAGGGCTGTGCAGTAAGGCAGCACTAGTTGAGGGAAAAACACAAAGCAGAACAAACCAAATCATGATTTGTCCTGGGGAGAATATTTTGATAGCTATGAATAAATATTTTCAAAAAGGACATTTGTTGAAGATCATAATTGTTAAAAACAAACAAACAAACAAACAAACAAAACAAACAAAAAAGGATTGCGTTTAAAGAATGTGTTTAAATACCTGCTCTGAGTTAAGAGAAAAAACAGCTTAAAGAATATTAGGACAAAAGGAGTTACAGTACAAGTGGTTTTCTACATGGAAATGGCAGAGATGTGAATAGGGCAGAAAAGATGAAACTGGTGAAAAAATATTCTTGTTTTATAATGTAGAATGAGTCCAATTTCTGTATTCCTGTCACAGGGTGATGGTCAGGCTTTCCACATCAATAACAAAAAAGGGCAATGGGAAATGATAGCTACTAACGTAGCCCCAGATTGTTGACTGAAGCAGGACATCGACGCACAAGCCCTTCGATTTATCACGTCCACCACCACCTGGCAGAAGGCGTACCATCATCAGTGCTAAGGTTACAGCGTGCCAGGACGGAGGCCAGGTTCAGGGGGGTGATGTTTCTGAAAAAAAGCATGAATGCCAAAGAGTAATTGCAGCTACACAGGTCCGGGTGAGGTGCTGGATGCAGAGGCGATGCCTGTATGGATGTGACCTCCTGGTGGCTTTATTCATCCCTGGGCACGCCTGGGTCTTTAGGGAAGGCACAGTCTGCTGGCCACAGAGGCTGCTGTTCAGCAGAAGAGGCTTCTGAGGGAAAAACAGGCTAATGATTAATGAACATATAGCTTATGGGAAAGGATTTCATGGTTTGGTTTATTTAGCTTATCAAAAGGAAGGTTAAGGATGACTTGACCATGGCCTATACACACCCACATGATGAAGTGAACTTTAATAATGGGTGCTTTCATCTCTCAGACAAAGATATAACGAGGTCAGTGGCTGGAAATAAATTCAGAAGAGTAATTAAGGTACATGTTTTTTAATGCTGAGAGTGATGAACTGACAGAAGAAACCTACATGAAATGCGGTGAGTTCTCTACATTTAATTTTTTTTAAGAGATGTTGTTTTTCTCAATAATATATATTTTTTTCTAATTCAGTCTTCTCAAGAAAATTCAATGCTGAGGCCAACCTATCTGATTGCAGTCGGCCCTTCTGGCTTTGCAATTTATAAATCTGGTAGTGTGAAAAAGGACACGCTGCCAGTAAACCAGTGTTTTTAGCTCACACTAAGAAAAAAAAAAAAAAAAAAAAAAAAACAGCAATAGCTATTATTTGTTACCAAAACATATTTATAAATGTGAAATACGGCTGCATCCTGGCAGACGTGCTGGCAGGAAGCTCGGCATGATCTTCCCTGCAGACGTTGAAGCTGCAGCCCTCCTTAGGCAGCCAGAAAGCATCCTTCCCATGTTGAGGGGCTGTCCCGCTTTGCAAATCTCCTGTCATCATTGGGGAAACAAATCAAAGTTTGCTATAGCCAAGTTACAGTGCTTTTCAGTGCTTCTCTTTCAAGCTGGACTGGCAGGTGGGTTTCATGACTTTGATGGCAGAGAAAATTTTTGGGGAAGAAGGGTTGTTCAGTGGTGGCATGGAGTTGCACCAGCTGGTAAGACTAGAGGCCACTGGTAAGGGTGGATGGAGCTGCTGGGGTGGTGGGAGGTGAAGGTGGCTGAAATATCGTCCCCTTGTCCCCATTGGGAACTGAGACGAAACAAGCATGTCCTGCCTTTGGAGTCAGCCTCTTGTCAGTCTACTCTACAGCACCCAAACCACAGTCCTGAATGGCCCCTTTTCAGTGTGTGACATTAGCCTGGTAATTTCCCATCACTTTGTTGGCTTAGCTTAATTAAACTTCAGTTATCGCTTTCCTTCCAATTAAAGATTTATTTTTACTACTTGACTAAATAAAGTGATGGGGACACTGGGAGCAAGTGGAAATGGCAATGGGAAAGCTCCTTCTCAATTAAATTTCTTTTGTTAAATTTTGGGTTCTCTAAAAGGAATCAAGCTGGGGTCAGTCCTGGATCGCATCCACCGGATTTCCAGTAAACGAGATCTTACTATGTTGTGCATGGGTATAAAGTTGCCGTGAAAAAGAAAGGCTCCCATTAAATCAAATAGCCAAGATTATGTGAGAATGAGGTATCTAAAAGCACAGTTATATGAGAAAGGAGTTGGCAACTTCTATGTCAAGTCTATCAAGGCACTGCAGTTCTCTTACAGCATATAACCTATGTAAACAGCACCAATAAAAATATTCCTATTTCCATCTATATTTTGATTACCTTACAGTGAGTACAGAATGTAATAAACTCCCAGTTCTATAATGAATTCAAATAAACAAACAACTACCCGAATCCCCAAGCAGGCCTTCCCTAAACAAAATTGAGAATAATTTGGGGATATAAACTTGCTTTGTATTATTTGGAAATGCATGTTACATTAGCATCATTTGGTTTTGCTGGTATTAAATGTAGATATTGGTTCCTGGTGAATAGCTTAAAACAAGTCAGTTGGAGCACGAGGGTTTTTCCATGCAAAGGAAGGAAGTCATTTGAATTTTTATCCCATTAATTTCTTCCTTTAAAATAGGTAAGAGGAAATAGCTTCCTAGTCCAAATGTTTTTGCCCAGTGGAGTTCTGGTAATAAAGAGTAACAAATGTGCAGGATAATTGTTAGCACTTTGCAGAAGTGGCCCTTCAGCACTGGCACTGAGCTGCCTGCACGTGGCTGGGGGACATATTCTTGCAAAAAGGGACAGTCCTGAGATGTGCTGTGCCGTGCCGTGCCATGTTGTGCCGTGCCAGAGGTACCTTTTCCTATACCTGAACTCATCCTGAGCAGCCTTTACAGATTACCCGGTATTTAAGAGGACAAACGGTAGCCTGTGAAGGTATATTTACCTTGCATTATCCGCGGAAAGCCTGTAGGGGGAGATTTCTTATTACTCTTTAAAGTAAGCGAAGAGGGAGAAGGATTGTAATGCTTATTGGTATTATTTCTTGCTGGAGGTTTCCCTTCTTTAAAGGCTCCAGCCTTTGAATTAGATGAAAAGACCAGATGCTCCTGCAATATTAAATCTCTCTCTATATATTTGTATATCTAGTTTTTAGTATAAAAATATAGCATTACGGTGTCCTCTAAATTACTAGGTGTAATTGTTGAGGAGTGTGATTTTGTGGTGGTTTCCGCTCTTTAGATGGACAAAACGGGCAGGGCAGGGATGGCAGCAGAGCTGAGCTCCCTTGCGGGGCTGGCCCTGGCTGGCCCCAAGCAGCAGCTGGTCCTGGGCATTGGGCGTTTGGGATGGGAGTCTCAAAATGCACGTGCTGGTTGAATCCAGAGTACCAAAGAGATTATGGGAGATGGTAGCAAGGGAAGTGCAGGATGGCAGACAGCACTGGCTGGTGATGCACTCTTTTCTGCTGCCCAGCGAGGTTCAGTGGCCTCCCCGGGTGGGTGCTGGCTCATGGGGACAGCACACAGATGC